CTTCGACTTGCGACCAACTCGACTTGCGATCAGAGTCACGGAACGGATTAAGTTCGTAAGTAGAGGTACCACTGTACTTTTTTAAAAATACCCATATAAGGTATTTTTATATAAGGGATATCCCTTATATACTCACATATAAGCCTATGCACAGCTAAGTAGACCCTCAAATTTTTAACCAAAATACTGTGTTTGAATTAAATTCAGAGAACAACAGTGCAGTTATCTTCGTTTGAGTCAATGCTTATTAATGGATATGAGTATTAACTAAAGTGTTAAGCCTAAAGGATAATTATAATTCAAAGTAAAAAAAGGATAATAGATACAGCTAACTCAAGTCTGATAGATTCTGAGCACATTAGACTCTTCTCTGGGGAATAAATACTGTCCTTAGAACATAAGTCAAATGAAGGAAAATTCCTTGTTTTGCAGAGTTAAGAAAGAAAATATTTTATTTTATTTTATTTTTTAAAAAAACTTAAAAGCTTAAAATGTATGAAGTGAATGCACTGCCTGTCTGGACAAGTATCTGCACATGTTCTGCTTCTTTTCCCTCGGATTGTGCTTGGTGTGATTGCTATGTTTGTGACATCAGATAATTCAAAAGTAATAGAATAAGGAATCACAATGACAACATGCAAGCCAAAAGATGAAAGAAAATATCCTGAATCCAACAGCCTTCCATTATCTGATAGGTAACTTGTATATTTCAAACTTGCATACAAGAAATTCCCTTAAAAGGGGGTTTTCGATGTGTAAAAAATGAAGTGGTAAAGAGAGCTGAACTACCAAATAGGTACAGAGAATATATACTACAGTATTAACACATGAAATTGCAGCCTCATCAAACAATGCATACATTATACTCTTTGTAGTCCATCATAAAATTACAATGTACCTTGCCTTGAATTGTTTTTTCTAGGAAATTCAGCAAGATAGCATGCTGGCAAAGGGTATGATGAAAACATTGGCCAAGGATATGGATCATCACCCTACAGAAGAGCACAATTAAGAAGAAAGTTATGTTATATAATTCGTTCAACTCATTTAATTGATTTAATTGTTCAGTTAAATATGCTCTTTGGCATATTATCTTACTTCCCAACACACTAAACTTGGTGCTGTACTTTAATTCCACCATTAAAAAACACATTATTCCTAAGTTTATACACTGATTTGACTGGCAGAAATATACTATGTTGAACTATTTAGACAGCAACCAACAGATAATTAAGATAATAAAAGAAAACACAAAACAAGCACCGCATCATGGAATTATTATAAATCAGTGTTTTACAGATATAATTAATATGTGGAAATAGCAAGACATTCTTTACCTATATTGCATCTATGTAATGTCAGTCAGCTAGATTCTTTAGAGTGATGTTGCTCCTACATGTAAGGGACAGGATGGAAGACCTGGTGAGAGCAAATTGTGATTGTCTGGCTAATGGTCTGGTGAATAAAATAGCTCGTATTAGCCCCAAGCTGAAAACAGGGGTCGACAGGATCTGATGAGATTACAAGAGGTGACATATTGAGATGTTACCTGGAGGTTTTTTTATATTTGTGTCATGAGGAAGTGGACAACATTCTTTGCAGTTTTAGCTTTGCCAAGTGGGGACTTGATCCCTGCCCTTTCTGGCTGGTTAAATGGTCAAGCAAGAAGGAAGAGTTTGAATCCAGGCCATAATCAACACCTTTCTGCAGGAACTAGAAATGCCAATCTTTAAAAAGGCATTACTTCACCCCCTCCATAAATGTGTGTCCTGGATCCTTTAGTATTGGACAACTATCATCCTATCTTCAACCTTCCCTTTCAGGGGAAAATGGTTGAAAAAGTGATGGAGTGACAACTACAAGCCCAGGAAGAAGCAGATTATCTGGGTCTGTGGCAGTCAATATTCTGATCTTGGTATAGAGACCAAACTGCATTGGTTACCTTCACAGAAGACCTGTGGTGGGATGTAAATGGAGAGAACATAGCCATCCTCATTCTGCTAGATTTTTTAATGGCTGTTAATACTATTTATATTAACCCCTGAGAGGGTTGGTTCTGCTCATTTCTAAGTGGATGGTTCCAATTTGGGGTTGTAGGGTAGGAGAGGTTGGGCCTTTGATTACTATATTATGGGGATCCCACACGACTTAGTCCTTTCCTCTATCCTGTCTACATGAAAGAATTCATTTCTCACTTTCGGGAGAACTATCATCAATTTCTTGATGATACTCCATTGTATACTTCTACACCAAGCTGAACAGGGAATACAATGGAAGTACTGAACCAGTATCTGAAGGCTGCCAGGGTCTGGATGGGGAAAAAAAGGCTCAAGCTCAACCCTAGCAAGAATGGAATGGAATAGATTCAAAGAATGGAATGGAATAGATTCAAAGGTCTGGTGATTTTGCCAGAGTATCATTTTTGGCTCTTGATGGGGTTGTGTTCCTCTGGAGACACAACTTAGTCCTCCTGGATTCATAGCTCCTGCTGGAGGCACTAGAATTTTGGTGAGGGGAGTCTCTGCCCAGCTTCAGCTGGTGTACCAGTTGTGGCTTTATTGAGAAGGTCACTCAGGCTCTTCTCATCTTGAAATTGGACTCCTGCAGTTCACTTTATATGGGATTGTCCTTGAAGACCACTCAGAAACTATAACTGGTGCAAAATGCAGCAGCCCATAGGCTTATGGGGTAGTCTCACTACTGCCATATAACATGGTTGTTATGGGAGCTTCAATGGCTGCCAGTGCATTTCCATCAAGGTGCTGGACATTGCCTATGAAATCTTATATGATTCAAGGCTTGGGTATCTCCAAGATTGCCTTTCCCAGACAGATTCTGTCCAACCCATTGGAGCGAATAGAGAATGCCTGCTCAAGATCCCCTACCTATCATGAGGTTCAATGGAGGAGTCACAGAAACAGTTCCCTCCTCTGGAACAGCAAACCCCATGAAGCAAGGATGGTTCCATTCTCATGGCCTTCTGAAGGCTCGTAAACTCTTGGCTGTTTCAAGAATTCTTCAGAGACTGAATATGTTGTTGCTGCCAAACCTGAATGGTTGTTGCTATGTTTAATGCTTATAACATATATGATTATGTATTATCATTATCGTATTTGTATATTCGTATTCGAGATGCCAGGGCAGGGGAGGAGGGGTGGCTGTTGTGACCCAGGAAACTCTATTGGCCTTCAGGGGCATTTCTCCACAAGTTTCTGGTTGTGAGACACTATTTATTAGGCTGGGGTCCCATGAACAGCAGGGAGT